ACAGATTTTCTTTTAGCTTCTGCTTCATTCTTCTCACATTTACAATCCTATCTTACGTGGCTAAAGGAACTGCTGAAAAACAACATGCACAGTTTCAAATGCAAAAACACTACTGAAAATAGGGAAAGAACAACAACTGTTGGGGAAACAGTGTCCTGAAAGGAAGTGTAACTACAGCTGTGAAGGAACTCTACGCTGTAATGTTACAGGGAAATACAACTTGATTAAAGAAGGTTTTCCACAAGATTTATAAGGCATTATACCCTTGAATCAGCTTTCTACCTACTGATTTATGTTGCAAATGCTCTCTTACCATACCCTTTTAGAAAAGGGAAACCAGGATTACACAAAAAAATGGCACCGGCCTTGTCACCAGGCAGGAAATCAAACCATTGCCCAAGGAAAATATTTACCTACTTGCTCTGCATTTACAGCCATTAGTTGCACCAAAGCAAATGCCCAGCATTTTGGCCATAAGTTAGCCACAGGTGAAGAAGCATGTCATTCCATGACATCTCAAGGAAACAGATATGTCAAGGTCTTTTTTTTGGCAACTTATCAACTTCAGGTTATGGATGGAAACTACTGCTCCAGTCCAAAAAGTGTAAAAGATCTTTTAATGTTTTAATGGTTAGCAGGGACAATGAGGCCCAACTTTAAACCTGGACAACAAACAAGGCAAGAATGGGGAATGTACAGAAATGGAGGCATCATAGCTTAACATTTCAGAGTCTGTCATCAGTAACAGGTATGCAAAAGAGGGATCTAGTTGGTAGAAACTCCACAAGAGCTCTCACCAGTCCCTTGCTGCATTCCCTCCAGTCGATTTCTTTGGACAATGAAAAGAGCCAAATCCATGAACCACAAATGTGGGCCTCATCAAACAACCAGGACAAACTGAACCTTCACACCATCTTTACATCTTACAGACATTGCAAATTATACCACAACAAACCTTTACACCTGCCCTGTCTGTGCACAGACAGATTTTCTCATCTTGCCTAAAGTTACACAACAGGAAAGCTACATTTGCAGACAGACACCACAGAAAGGAAAGCTGCACATGCAGCTTCTCCTTAGTGAGACCATGGATTGCAACACGGACACATGCAAAGAGATTTTTTTGCCCATCACTCTACTTGGAAGCAATATGAAACGTTCCAATTACATAACTAATATGCAACTCTGATAAAGACCCAGTTATGGAAGTATCAGTTCAAAGATACCATCATCCTTAGCATATGGGCGACTTGGAAGATGGACAACTCTCAAAGCTTAATATAAAGTGTACGTCTATGCTCAGTCACTGATTACGGAACATGAAAGCAAAATGATGAACTCACAGTTTGGACAGTTAGAGTTCAACCAAGGTTATATCCAAGCATATGACACCTTCAGAATAATCCTCTGTAAGCTAGCAATAAACTCTGGGAATCAACACAGCATATGCCATGTCTTCTCAAACACTTCACAGCTTTCATTGTTGTCAATGATCATCACAGTTTGCAGACAGACTCAATCGAAAGAGTTGCACAGAAAACTTCTCCCTACTATGGATAATATTTAACTTCTCATCATGTCTATGTATAAAGGAATAGCATTTATTCAAGTGAAAATTTAAGGAAATATGTTTATGAAAATCTTTCTCTTCACAGCTCTAAACATGAAAGGAACATATGGGATAGGCAGTAATATCTAACTACAGATTTCCACAGCCCATGAAAGCAATAGCCCATGTTCAGATCATCACAATTAGCAAGGAACAAGTTAACACATGCTGAAACAAAGGGATCATATTATGTTCTTGATAATGGCTCACCGAGTAATTTATTTAGTAGGGAATGAATAATCAGTTGGTTCCTCCCAAAGATCCCACTAAGGAATTTCTCATAATTGAACTGTAAGAACAACCTGCAAATACACATGAAGAACCTCCGAGGGGTCCCCATACAGACAGAATAAAATCTCTGCTTGCAGAAATTCCTTGAGAAGGCAAAACTTACACTGCAGGACACTAGTGTTGGGTACATCTCCCACAGCTCACTTGAGTAACCCTTTACAACTCACATAATATAGCATGCATATCTCTACATCCCAACGAAGATATATTGTTAGCTCACGCCACTTGAGAGAAAAGGTTTCAAAACATAAAAAATTAGACATGGACCTCCAAGAAAGACTGCATCCACGACGTGGAACCCAGCGAAGACATGGTAAACAAAAACAGTTCCAGCCACTACAAAAGGCCGTCCCACAGCAGCCTCATTGCTCCCACTTCCCCACCCGCTGGAAAGCTGAAACACCCCAAGTTCCCGCCCGGCATTAAGAAGCACTAGCAAACACCGGGAGAAGAGACAAACTTTGCCTTTCCCGTTCCCACAGCCCCCTGCAGAGCACACAGAACCCGTCGGGGAAAGAGCAGAAAATCAGAAAGGGGAAGGAAGTGGAGCAGAGAAAGGCTCCTGGAGAGGACTCACTGTGGGAACAGAGGGGTCCTCGCTGCAGGAGGCCGCAGGGTCATCCACGAGCAGCGGCGCGGGCTCGCCAGGAGGAGGCCGGACCGGGAGGGTGTCGCAGCAGCTGCCAGAGGACAAGCGGAGGTGGCTCTTGCGCGAGTCGGCTGTGAGAGACACCTCGTGAGAGTAGGAGTGCAGGAAGGCGCGGACGCCGTCGATGCCCACAAACTGCGAGGCCGGGACACCGCGCAAGGAGGCGCTGCCCGACGCCTCCAGCAGCTGCGAGCGGCGCCAGTGCCGCAGGCGCAGCGCCAGCAACAGCAGCAGGAAGGCGAGGAAGAGGCAGGACAGGGCCGCCACGGCCAGCACCAGCCAGCGCGTAAGGCTGGCGGTCGGCTCGCCCGGCGCCGCCACGCTGCCCAGCTCCGAGAGCAGCTCGGCCACGCTCTCGGCCAGCACCACCGTCAGCGTGGCCGTGGCCGACAGTGCCGGCCGCCCGTGGTCCTTCACCACCACCACCAGGCTCTGACGCGCCGCGTCGCGGGCCAGTGGGAAGCGCGCTGTGCGCACCTCGCCGCTGTGCAGCCCCACGCGGAACAAACCCGGCTCCGTCGCCTTGGCCAGCTCGTACGACAGCCACGCGTTCTGCCCCGCGTCCGCGTCCACCGCCACCACCTTGGCCACCAGCGCCCCAGGCTCCGCTGACCGCGGTGCCAGCTCCACGCCCGACCAGCCCGACACCGCCGCAGAAGGCGCCGCTGCCGGCGGTGGGTACAGCACCTGCGGCGCGTTGTCGTTCTCGTCCACTATCTCCAGCAGCACTGACACGTTGCTGCTCAGCGCCGGCGCGCCGCCGTCCTCCGCCCACACCCACAGCCGCACCTCGCGCACCTCTTCGTAATCGAACGAGCGCAGCGCGTACAGCGCGCCCGTCTCTGCCTGCACCGATACGTACGACGAGAGCGGCGCGCCCCGCACCCGCCCCTCTGACAGCCGGTACCGCACGCGCGCGTTCTGCCCCCAGTCCGCGTCCGTTGCTCGCACCGTCAGCAGCAGCGCTCCCGCCGCGTTGTTCTCTGCCAGCCGGGCGCTGTAGCGCGGCTCCGCGAACACGGGTGCGTTGTCGTTCACGTCCAGCACCCGTAGCGCCAGCACCGCGCTGCTCTGCAGCGCCGGAGACCCGCCGTCCACCGCCCGCACGGTCACGTTGTACTCGGACACCTTCTCGCGATCCAGCTCTCCTACCGTCACTACGCGGTAGTAGCTGCCCTGGGAGCTCCGCAGTCGGAACGGGACACCCTCATCCAGCGAGCCCCTCACCTGCCCGTTCGCCCCCGAGTCCCTGTCCTGCACGTGCAGCAGAGCCACCACTGTTTCCGGCGGCGCGTCCTCCGAGACCTCGCTCAGCGAGGATCGCACTGAAATCTCTGGTGCATTGTCGTTGACGTCTGTTACAGTGATCACGACTATTGCTGTGTCGGAAAGACCTCCGCTGTCCCGTGCCTGCACCTCCAGTTCGTGTGAGGATATTTCTTCAAAGTCTAAATTGTCCTTCAGAGATATTTCTCCCGTCTCAGAGCTTAAGTGGAAAAGTTCCGAAGCCCGGTCTGAAATTTTATGGAAAATGTATTTCAAGTGTCCGTTCAGACCCTCGTCGGCGTCGGTGGCCTTCAGGCTAACGAGGACGGAACCCACGGGCACGTTCTCGGGCACACGCACCGTGTACTCCTCCTGGCTGAACACGGGCGCGTTGTCGTTGGCGTCCAGCACAAACACGCGGATCCGCGCCGTGCCCGTCCGCGCAGGCTCTCCGCCATCGCTCGCCCTCAGCACCAGCTCGTGAAACGCTGCCTCCTCCCGGTCCAGCGCCTTCTCCAGCACCAGCTCGGGACGCTGATCCCCGCTGGGGCCCGTCTGCACAGCCAGCGAGAAGTGCTCGTCGCCGCTCAGCTCGTAGCTCTGCAGGGAATTCGGGCCCGAGTCCGGGTCGTGAGCCCTGGCCAAGGGAAACCGCGACCCGGGGGCAGTCGATTCGCTCATTGTCTCCTCTAGCTCGGTTTCCTTGAAAGTGGGTGCGTTGTCGTTAATGTCCGTGATCTCTACTTCGATGCTGTAAACCTTCATATCTCCCTCCACTATCACCTCACAGCGCAGCACACATTTCTCCACCAGTCGGCACAACTGCTCTCTGTCTATCCTCTCCGCTGTCACCAAATGGCCCGTCTTCCCTTGCAGGGAGAAATACTGCATCCTACCTTCGGAGATGACTCGGATGCCGAAGTCGCGGAGTGCCAGCAGCTCCAGCCCCAGGTCTTTGACCACGTCGCCCACGAACGAGCCCTTGGGCAATTCCTCGGGAACCGAGTAGTGCAGCTGCCCCCACGTAAGTTTCCACGCCGCCATCAGAACGCTCCACAGCAAGGCTCGCCCCCGCCGTTCCCAGCGCCTCCCCGCTGCTCCCATGTCTGCCGCCGCACCTCGGACCCCGTATCGCCGCAGCCAATTGCCGACCGCTGCTCTGGCTTCTTCTCCTCTCTGGTTCCTTCACTGTCTCCCGTTCCTGGTCGCCCCTCCGTTTCGCTGCAGCACGGCTCCGCACAGCGGGGAAGCTGGCAGACGGTCCGGCCGCGGAGGCAGACAGTCCGCGAGCGAGAGAGTCTGGCTGCAACGGGAGGGGACGGCGGCAGCGCTCTGGCCTTCCTCTCGCTCCTCCTCGGTCAACAGCGGCGCCCGCAGCCTCCTCTCGGCACTGCAAGCACCGGGCGCTGCCTAGTGCTGCCAGCCGGGCTTTGACCACTGCAAGGTCGCATGAACGGCACACGCGCTATCGGGTCCTGTCCAGCTCTGACTTACTGTAGCGCCTGCCCTCGAGACGAGCTCTTTCGTGATCTACACTGAGATCCCGGAACAGTCTTCTTGTGGTTTTCCTACTCATACCTTATGAGAAGTGGGTTTTCTGATGCTGATGCATAGAATATTCTCTATGATGGCTAGAACATCACAGGCTTTAGCCCAACAGTCCTTAGGCATTATCCCACCCCCCTCAATTGCATCGAGTTTTGTAGGCGTTGGGCTTGAATGAAGTTTCCCTCAGCTTTTAGCAAATTAAAACAATATCATGGAGTCAGAATGCTCCCTCCCTTCATCCCGTAGTATAGCTCTGGTCACTCACTCTGGAGTTTGTCACTTTTCCCGTGCACACAAGATGCCTCTCTGGGCACACTTCCACTTAGCACTCGGGTCTCCATTCAAGAGTAACTCAGCACAAGTAGAGTTGCACAACCACTCTGTCAGGATCTGTTACAAAAACAAAACCATCAGCACGTAGCACACCCTCAGCTTAAATGCTATCACCCTGGACAAAGTACCTCGTGATTTTAGGGGAAAAAAATATAGAAAAAGAAACCGTGTTCAGAAAACCAGCCACCGATCTTCTGTCCCATTCTATGCCACTGTACAAAAGACAGATGAGGAACGGTAAAGAGGGAACTGCCAGCCAGGATGGAAGACAAAGCACAAATAACGGCACAAAGAGAATAAGGAAACCAAGATCAGAGAAAATGAACCCATCTCACTACTGCTGCCATTTTGCAGCAGCTTTTCACCAAAAGGAGTGATGGCACATGGCTGGGGGAGGAACGTTCATTAGAGAGGAGCAATCTGTCGCTTGCACAATCTGCTCTATTCGTGGAGCCACTCTCGCATTTCCTTAGTGAGTACAAAACCAAAACAGTATTAACCAACAGATTCTTGTTCAACTGTCACCAAAGTGAAAGTGTATCACCTCAGGAAAAAGCACTCATAAATGAAAAGTCTCAAGCATTGAGCAATTATCACACTTCCCTGACAGCATCATGTAGAGTTACAAACCCATAAACTAGACAAGCAAGGCAAGGAAGCATTAGAAGAGAAAATGCTGTCAGAGAAACTCACCTGAGGTCACTGAATTTCATCCCTATCTCAAGCTGCAAGTACAGCCCTTAGGTCTTCCTCTGAACTATACATTAGGGGGTGGTCCTTTTAAAAATAATCACCAGCTCTAAGCAATTGTTTTCTATTCCATGGCCTGTTCATCTCCCCAAAACATTAAGCACTAGGAGTGAAGTCTTTATTATGGGCCTCTTTCTCCAAGTCATCCTTTTTAGAAAATACAACCGATTCTCTTATATTCTGGCTTAATTTTCATCAGGGATAATATTCTGTCTTAGGTGAATTAAGTCAGTAACTGCAGCAAAACAACACCCAGTTTCAAAAGCAAAATCGCTTTCCAGATATAGGGAAAAGGAACCACAAACTTCAGGGAAACCAAGGTCTGAAAGAAAGAGTAGCTACAGCTGTGAAGAAACTCTGTATCACAACATTCCAGGGAGTTACAGGTAGACAACAGAGATTTCATGGAGAAATTATAAGATGCTCTACCCATGCATCAGTCTTCTAAATACACATTCACTGTGCAAATGCTCTGTTCTCAGAGGACTCCCATTGCATTTCAGGACAGAGAAACCAGGATCACATAAAACATAGCACAAGCCTTGGCACCAGGCAGGAAATCAAACCATTGCTCAGCCCAAAGCACATCGACCCACCTATTCTCCTAATTCCAAGCCAGCCTCTCACCCTCCTTGCTCTGTAGTCACAGCCCTTAGTTGCACCACAGACAATAGCCAGAATTCTGGCCACATGTTTGCCACAGGTGAAAGAATATGTAATTCTGTGACATCTTAGGGAAACAGAGGTATATCAAAGATTTGTTTTGGTAGCTGAACACCTTCAGGGTATGGATGGAATCTGTTGACCCAGACCAACAATTATAAAAGATATTTTAATGTTTCAAGGGTCATCAAGATCACTGACTCAGCTTTACCCCTGGACAACAAATAAGTCACATATAGGAAACATGCAAAGTGAAAGCATCATAGCTTAACATTTCATATTATTTCATCACTAGCAGTACACAAGAGGGGATCTTTGGTAAAAAGTCCACAGGACATTCACACAGGAGCTTATACCACAGATCCTGGCCATAGCTCCTCGAGGTAATTTCTTTGTATAATGACAAAGGGGAATCATCAAACCATGAGTGTGAACCTCAAATAATAACTAGGACAAACTGAACTTCTGCAGCTTCCATTTAGCTGTTTCAACTTGTAGTCCAGCAAACACTTCCACCAGCCCTGTCTCCTCACAGGCAGAACTCTTCACCCTGCCCAAATCTCACAAAACATGAAAGCTACTAACAACAGATAGACACCATTGAATGAAATGCTGTGGACACAAATTCTCAGAGCCCAGAGGTCACAACACAGCTGCATGTGAAGTGATTTTTCTGCTCATCCCATATAATTTGATGAAACATCAAGGGTTCTAATGGCCATAAGTAATACAGGGATCAGTTCAAGTCCTGGTCATGTTCAAACACATTCATACTCACTTTCAGAAGGCCAGCAATAAACCCTGGGAATTGAGAAAACATGTACCTTTTCTCCACCAGTACCTCCACATCCACAACAACCCTGAAACTCTCCTCCGATGTGTCACAGCTGACAGTGTTCTCAATGATCATAGAATCATAGAATCACAGAGTCATAGAATGGTTTGGGTTGGGAGGGATCTTTAAAGCTCATCCAGCTCCAACCCCCTGCACAGGCAGCAACACCTTTCACTAAATCATGCTCCTCAAAGGCCCATCCAACCTGGCCTTGAGCACTGTCAGGGATGGGGCAGCCACAGCTTCTCTGGGCACCCTGTGCCAGCGCCTCAGCACCCTCACAGGGAAGAACTTCTGCCTAATATCTAATATAAATGTATCCTTTTTCAGTTTAAAGCCATTCTCCCTTGTCCTATCACAATATGTGCTTGTAGAAAGAACCTCTTTCTTGTAGGGCTTTCTTCTAAGCCCCCTTAAGGTACTCAAAGGCTGCTATCTCTTCAGAGCCTTCTCTTCTCCAGTCTGAGCAAGCTCGCCTCCCTCAGCCTGTGTCCATTGGAGAGGTACTTCAGTACCTCCAGATCACCTTTATGGCCTCCTCTGGAGTTGCTCCAACAGGTCCACCGCCTTCTTACATTGTGGCCCCCGAGCTGAATACGCTATTTCAAATGGGGTCTCGCAAGAATGAAGTAGAGGGGGAGAATCACCTCCCTCAACCTGCTGGTCACATTTCTTTTGGTGCAACCCAGAACACTGTTGCGTTTCTGGGCTGTAAGCATACATTCCAGGTCACATAGGGCTTCTCATCAATCAATACCCCCAAGTCCTTCTCCTCAGAGCTGTTCTCAATCCAACCAGCCTGCATTTGTGCTTGGGATTGCCCCAAGCCGGTGCAGGACCTGGTACTTGGCCTTGTTGAACTCCATTAAATTTGCATGGGTTCACACCTCAAGCCTATCCAGGTCCCTCTGAATGGCATTCCTTCCCTCCAAATGTGTTGCCTGCACTACACAGCTTGGTCTCGTCCACAGACTTGCTGAGGGTGCTTGATCTTACTGTCCATGTCACCAACAAAGATGTTAAACATCAGAAGTCCCAATATGAACCTCTGAGGAACAGCACTCATCACTTGGACATTGAGCCTTGATCACAACTCTTTGAGTACAGTCACCTAGCTCCTTATGCACCAAGTACTCTGACCATCAGGTCCACGCTGCTCCAATTTGAAGGCAAGAATGTTGTCTAGGAAAGTGTCTAATGCTTTGCACAAACCCAGGTAGATATTTTCCCTTATCTACCAATGCTGTAACTTCATTGTAGAAGATCACCATCTTTGTCAGTCAGAGTTTGCCATAAGAGAGACCATGTTGGCTGTCACAGATCACTTCCTAATTTTCCATGTGCCTTAGCATAGTTTCAGGGGCTTCATGATCTTGCAAGGTTGAGACTGACAAGGTAAGACCGACTGGCCTGTACTTCCCCAGGATTTCCTTTTATCTCTTTTTTAAAATGGGGGTTATGTTTCCCATTTCCCACTCACTGGAAACTTTACTGGACTGCCACAACTTCTCAAATATGATGCATAATGTCCTGGGTATTTTATCTGCTAATTTCCTCAGGATTTATGGATGCATGTCCTCAGGTCCCATGTTCTTGTGCACCTTCAGGTTCCTTAGATGGTCTCAAATTTGATCTTTACATACAGCAGATGGTTCTTTATTCTCCTTGCCTTCTCCAAGTTAGGTGATGTGGCTGGAGCAGTTGCCAATGAAGACAAGGCAAAAAAATGAGAGTACCTTGGCCCTCTCCATGTCCTGGGTACTAGGTCTCCCTTTTCCTTCTGGAGACAGCCCACATATTCCCTAGTCTTCCTTTTATCACTGATGTACCTAGAGAAGCTTTTGTTGTTGCCTTTGACAACCCTATATACACTTAATTCTATCAGGGCTTTCCTAACCCGATTCCCAGCTGTCCAGATAATTTATCTGTATTTCTCCCAGGCTACCTGCCCTTGTTTCCACCCTCTGCAGACTTCCTTTTTGTGCTGGAGTTTTTCCAGGAGGTCCTTGTTAATCCATGCAGTCCACCTGTTGTTTTTGCCTGATTTCTTCTTTGTTGGGATGCATTTCATCTGAGCTTGGAGGAGGCAGTCCATGAATATTAACCAGCTTCTTGGGCCCCTCTTCTGTCCAGAACTTTATCCTGTGGTACTTTACCACATCCCTGAAGAGACCAATGTCTGCTCTCTTGTCTGCTCTCCTGAAGTCCAGGGTAGCCAGCTTGCTGTACAGACTCCTACCACGTAAGTATCTCAAACTGCAGCATTTCATGGTCACTGCAACCATGGCTGTCCTCATGCTTCACATTCTCCACTAGCCCCTCATTGTTGGTGAGGACAAGGTCCAGCATAACCCCTCTCCTCGATGGCTCCTCTGTCACTGGGAGGAGAAAATTATCATCGATATATTCCAGGAATCTCCTAGATTGCTTATGCCCTGCTGTGTTGTCTCTACACCAGATACTGGTTTGGTTGCAGTCCCCAGTGAGGAACAGGGCTTGTGAACGTAAGGCTGTTCCTGTCTATAGAGGGCCTCATCTGCTTGGTCTTCCTGGTATCGCAGCCTGTAGCAGACACATTACAATACCACCTGTCCATGCCCTCCCTTTAATCCTGACCCATAAGCTCTCAGTCAGGTTCTTATCAAACCACATGTGGAGCTCCAGGAGTTCCAGATGGTCATTGATCTAGAGGGCAACATCCCCTCCTCATCTCCCTAGCCTGTCTTCATGAATTAATCTTCACCATTTGCAGATAGACTCCATCAAAAGAAAAGATGCAAAGAGAACTGCTCACCAAGCATTAACCCCCTTTTCTTAACCACATTATGTAGAGTTGGTGAATATCATACCACATCGTAAGGATCCACCTTCACCAATATTGACTCATAATATTTGAGAACACACGAGTTTCACAGATAAATTCTTCAGCTGAAGCTGAATGTGTGATGAAAAAAGAGATACGACCACTAACTGCCTACTCTGAGTAGAAAAGGAACAAATGCAAATATTAATGCTGCCATTTCTGCAGCTCCTTTCTCCAAAAGTTAGGAAGATCCACTTTGGAGGAACAATCTGTAACTTCTCCACCTATGGAGCCACATGCAAGTTTCACAAAACAGCATGAAGGAACAGCTTTGCATCCAGGTCTCAAACAAGACCAAGTACATTGGTTTGGAAAAAACGTGATCGGAAAGAAAAATCTCCATCACACAGAATCACCATGTCATTAATTTACCATGCTCAACATTACTAACTCACATGTGAGATGTAGGCCAAAGCTCTCAGGTGAACCTGAACCTGCAATCACCAAAGAACCATGCAGCACTACAGCCAAATGCCTGTTCACAAAAGAAGGGAGTGACCCCATTCTTTCATTCTTCGACAAGGACAGAGACCAGCACTCCAAATCTGTACCATCCTGGAACATGCAGGGGAAGAAGACAACAGTTCAGCAAGGTTCCAGGACAGTAAAAACATGCAGACTTATGGAGCTGTGGCAAGTCAGGCTCCACAAGCAGCTCTCCCACACTGGTGCAGCTACTCAGGCACTGCTACCCAATGGGATCCCCACCAAGAAGTTCCTTCAAAGCCACTTTCATGGGGTGGAACTTTCCCCCAGCCCAGCAAATATAAGACATCTTTTAATGTTTTATGTGTCATCATGCAAAATGAGACAAGCTTTAGACCTGGACAACAAACAGTGGGAAACTTAAGAGCACTGAACAAATCAAAGCTTAACATTTTAGATAATGTCAACTATATAAGTCAACTATAGTATGTACACAAGAGTGGGATCTAGTTGGTTAAAAGCCCACAGGAACTCATCCCACCTTTCCACAAGGCAATTTCTTTAGATCATAACCACCCCCCTCCCCCCAAGCAAACAAAACCCAAACTGTGGCCCTCATATGAAAACCAGGACAAAATGAACTTTTACACCATCATTACATATTTTAGAAATTTCAAATGATACCACAGCAAATGTTTTCACCAGCCCTGCCTCTGAACAGATGGAATTTCTCATCCTGCCCAAATACTATGCAACAGGAAAGCTACATTTGTAGAAAGACACCAATGAAAAAGAATGGGCATATGCAAATTCTGAGAACAAGGATTGCAACACAAACACATATAAAGAGATTTATCTGCTCATAACACTACTTGAAAGCAATGTACAATGTTCTCAATTGCATAAGTGATATGCATCTCTGATAAAGACCTAGTTGCCAAAATATCACCTCAAACCCATCATAATTCTACTTCAGAACATGGGCAACTTAGAAGTTCATGACTCAAAGATCAATGGAATCTGTATGTCTATTCTCGGTCACTGATCATGCAATAGGAAAGAAAAATGCAAGCAAAGTGATATAAAAAAATAATACATCAACAGAATCATTATTCCATAGGCCATCAACAACTCCTGGGAATGAACACAACACAGGAGATATCTCCATAAGTACCTCTGCACACATAGCACCAATGAGACTCTCCTCAGGCCCTTCACAGCTGCATTGTTATCATTAATCTTAATCAATTGCAGACAGATGCAATTAAAAGAAGTTGCACAGAGAACTTCTTACTATGGATAATATTTGACTTTCCACAACATGCATGTGATAAGCAAGAGCATTTATTCAAGTATCATTTTGAGAAAACAAACATATGAAGTCTTCTTCTTTATTGCTTTAAACATGAAAGCAACCTATGGAACAGGGAGGTAAAAGTAACAGGCTTGATCTTCCACACATTATCAGAGAGAACAGCCTACTTTCAGTTCATCACAAGAAGCAAGACAAATCAGCAAGGCACAAAGTTAACACACAAACGAAGGACTGGATATGAAGAAGGCTGAGGTTCTTAATGACCTCTTTGCCTCAGTCTTCACTGGCAAGTGCTCTAACCACACCATCCAAGTCTTGGAAGACAGTTGCAAGGACTGTGAGAATGAAGACCTTAGGCCCACTATAGGAGAGGATCTGGTTCAAGAGCATCTTAAGAACCTGAACACGTGCAAGTCCATGGGACTTGATGAAGTCCATCAAGTCCATCACTAGGTCCTGAAGGAGCTGGTAAATAAGCCACTGGTGACAGCCAGCATGGCTTCACTAAGGGGAAATCCTGCCTGACCAATTTGGTGGCCTTCTATGGTGGGGCTACAGAACTGATGGACAGGGGTAGAGCAGTTGACATCTACCTGGACTTGTGCAAAGTGTTTGACACTGTCCTGCATGACATCCTTGTCTCTAAATTGGAGAGACACCAATTTGATGGATGAACCACTTACTGGATAAAGAACTGGCTGGATGGCCACACATAAAGGGCTGTGGCGTATGGCTCACTGTCCAGCTGGAGATCAGTAACAAGTGGTGTCCCTCAGGGATCAGTGTTGGGACTGGTCTTGTTCAATGTCTTTGTCAGGGACATGGACAGTGGGATTGAGTGCACCCTCAGCATGTTTGCCGATGACACCAAGCTGTGTGGTTTGGTTGATAAGCTGAAGGGAAGGGATGCCATCCAGAGGGACCTTGACATGCTTGTGACATGGGCTAATGCCAACCTTATGGAGTTTATGGACCCTTATGGGTCAGAGCAACCCCAGGCACAGCTACAGGTTGGACAGAGAAGAGATAAAGAGCAGCCCTGAGGCAAAGGACTTGGGAGTGTTGGTCAATGAGAAGCTTAACATGGGCCGGCATTGTGCACTCTCAGCCTAGAAGGCCAACCATATCCTGGGCTGCATCAAAAGGAGCAGGTCAAAGGAGGTGATCCTGCCCCTCTGCTCTCGTGAGACCCCACTTGGAGTATTGTTGCAGTTCTGGTGTCCTCAACACAAAAAGGACACGGAACTGTTGGAACAAGTCCAGAGGAGGCCACGAGAATGATCAGGGAACTGGAGTACTTCCTGTATGAAGACAGGCTGAGAAAGCTGGGGCTGTTCAGCCTGGAAAAGAGAAGGCTGCGTGGAGACTTCATAATAGCCTTCCAGTATTTGAAGGGGGCCTGTAAAGATGCTGGGGAGGGACTGTTCATTAGAGACTGCAGTGATAAGACACGGGGTAATGGGTTAAAACTCAAACAGGGGAAGTTTAGATTGGATATAAGGAAGAAGTTCTTTACTGTAAGGGTGGTGAGGCACTGGAATGGGCTGCCCTGGGAAGCTATGAATGCTCCATCCCTAACAGTGTTCAAGGCCAGGTTGGACAGAGCCTTGGGTGACATGGTTTAGTGTGAGGTTCCCTGCCCATGGCAGGGGGGTTGGAACTAGATGATCTTAAGGTCCTTTCCAACCCTAACTATTCTATGATTCTATGATCACAGCATACTCTTCTTGATAATAGCTTTTAGGCTAGAAATATAATTCAGATAGTAGGCAGTGATTTCACTGGCAGCCACTGCAAAAGCTCCCATTATCACACCTGCCATAAATACATAATTCAGCTGCCAATTAAAACTCACCACAACCTAAAAACACACAGGAGAAACCTTCCACGGATGCCCATACAGATGGACTAAAATGTCTTCTAGCAGGCATTATTTGGGAAGATGAAACTCACACTGTATAATACTTAGAGTTGGGCACTGGTCACAGAAATTAAGAAACCATGTCTCGTGTCTTCAAGACCCCTCCTGCACAAGTACCATGACCCTGCTTTTCAACCCTACACCACTCAGTGGTGCTCTTTGCATATTTTTACATATCTACACTAAGAAAAATAAATGTTGTCTGCTCATGAGACTTCAGAGAAGAAATGTCAAGGTTTAAAAGAAAAAGCAGACCCGATTGCAGGAAGAAACTGTGTCACTTAACATAGTGAAGATGTCCTAAAACACGAAGCCCCCCTCCAAGGAAACTCCCGCTGGCAGCAGGCTCGCGCCTTCTGCCTCTCCACTTACTAACATCCCATGTTCTCCTCCTGGGAGCAAGAGGCACCAGCACGCAGCAACAAGACACAGAGGAGCAGCAGAACGAAGAAAGTGGCGTGGAGAAAGGCTCCTGAGAGGAACTCACCGGGGGAATGGTGGGGTCCGCGCACCGGGAGGCTTCAGGGTCATACCCGAGTAGCGGCTCGGGATCGTTAGGAGGCAGACGGGTCGGGAGGGTGTCGCAGCAGCTGCCAGAGGACAAGCGGAGATGGCTCTTGCGCGAGTCGGCGGTGAGAGAAACCTCGTGCGAGTACGAGTGCAGGAAGGCTCGGACGCCGTCGATGCCCACAAACTGCGAGGCCGGGACACCGCGCAAGAAGGCGCTGCCAGACGCCGCCAGCAGCTGCAGCAGGAAGGCGAGGAAGAGGCAGGACAGGGCCGACACGGCCAGCACCAGCCAGCGCGTGAGGCTGGCGGCCGGCTCGCCCGGCGCCGCCGCGGCGCTGCCCAGCTCCGAGAGCAGCTCGGCCACGCTCTCGGCCAGCACCACCGTCAGCGTGGCCGTGGCCGACAGCGCCGGCCGCCCGTGGTCCTTCACCACCACCACCAGGCTCTGGCGAGACGCGTCGCGGGCCAGCGGGAAGCGCGCCGTGCGCACCTCGCCGCTGTGCAGCCCCACGCGGAACCGCCCCGGCTCCGTCGCCTTGGCCAGCTCGTACGACAGCCACGCGTTCTGCCCCGCGTCCGCGTCCACCGCCACCACCTTGGCCACCAACGCCCCAAGCTCCGCCGAACGCGGCACCAGCTCCACGCCCGACCAGCCCGAGACCGCCGCAGAAGGCGCCGCTGCCGGCGGGTACAGCACCTGCGGCGCGTTGTCGTTCTCGTCCACGATCTCCAGCAGCACCGACACGTTGCTGCTCAGCGCCGGCGCGCCGCCGTCCTCCGCCCACACCCACAGCCGCACCTCGCGCACCTCCTCGTAGTCGAACGAGCGCAGCGCGTACAGCGCGCCCGTCTCCGCCTGCACCGACACGTACGACGAGAGCGGCGCGCCCCGCACCCGCCCCTCCGACAGCCGATACCGCACGCGCGCGTTCTGCCCCCAGTCCGCGTCGGACTTTTCCCCTGCACTCCGCAGACTGATCTGGATCACCCTGCATTGCTCCCGCTTCTGCCACCGACATAGGGGAATTTTTCATTGCAGGCTGATACTACTGCCTAGGACTTGCGGCTCTGATCTAGACTAACTCTAGAGCGTGATGCACACACTGTCGTGGAGTCATTACAGCAAAAAAGAAAATAAAAATAGGTCAGAACGCAACCTCTTCACGTTGAAAATACATCTCTTTGGGAAAAGAGGATATAAATAAAATGGGTTCTGAAACACAAAAAGTGTTGGATTTGTTTGGAGTTACTTGGACAAAATTAACGTTTTCAAGAGCCAATTAACAGCAAGAACCTTCCCACGAGGACTACACATGTGATGGGTGGTCACTAGCGGAAAAGTTAATTTTCAGTGAATGGTCCCAAAAAAAAAAAAGCCACGGCACAGGATTATTTCTTTCATTCCTGAAAACAGAGAACGGCACGAGCACGCATGCAACCACAAATAACCGCACAGAGCCTCTTAGGGAAGACCCGAGATAAGGATGTAAGCGCGGGCTTACAAACCTGAGGGACGTCGAGATCCACTGGCGGTTTTCCCACGACGGCGCTGCTGGTCAGGCTTCGCTCTCCTAGGGACTCCCCACAGAGAAGCTCCTCCGCTGGCAGGCTGGGAAGCGGCGGCGGTGGCCAAGCGATCTCGGCGACGGCGCGCCCGGGCGCCACGCACAGGTTGTAGGAGTAGGGCAAGGTGCCCTCGCAGAAGTCGGCCGGGAAGGCGGCGCCGGTCCCGGAGAGGCGCTGCGCACCCAGGCAGCGCAGCACGGCGGGCGGCCCGGCACGGCGGCTCCTTGCCAGCACGGCCAGCGCCACGCTCAGCAGGAAGAGTGCGGACAGAAGAGCCAGCGCCAGCACGAGGGAGAACTGCAGCTCCGTCGCCGAATCGGCGTCCGCCGTCCTCTCCCTCAGCTCCGGGAGCGCCTCCTGCAAGCTCTCGGCCAGTACCACGTGCAGCGTGGCCGTGGCCGACAGCGCCGGCTGCCCGTGGTCCTTCACCACGGCCACGAGCCGCTGCTTCGCCGCGTCCCTGTCAGACACGGCCCGCGCAGTGCGCACCTCGCCGCTGTGCAGCCCCACACGGAACAGCGCCGGCTCGGGAGCCTGCACCAGCTCGTACGACAGCCAGGCGTTGCGCCCCGCATCCGCGTCCACTGCCACCACCTTGGCCACCAGGTACCCGGCCTCGGCTGACCGCGGAACCATCTCGAAAGGGGCTGCAGCAGGGACTGCAGTCTGGCTTGTCCCCGAACCCACCACCGCCGGCCACAGCACCCGCGGAGCGTTGTCGTTGCGGTCCAACACGAAGACGCGCACCGTCGCCGTCGAACTCCGAGCAGGTTCACCGCCGTCCTGAGCCCGCACCACCACCGCGAACTCGCGGCACTGCTCGTAGTCGAAGGAGCGCTGCGCGTACACCGCGCCGCTCTGAGCCTCCACCGACACGTACGGCGCCGTGCCCGCACTGCCGCCCTCCATCGAGTACCTCACGCGCCCGTTGCTCCCCGCGTCGGCGTCCCGCGCCCTCACGTGCAGCACCAGTGCCCCCGGCGCGTTGTTCTCCTCCACGTAGGCGCTATAGGCGGCCTCCTCGAACACCGGCGCGTTGTCGTTCACGTCCGACACGTCCAGCACCAGCGCCGTGCTGCTCGAGAGAGCCGGGCTGCCCCGGTCCCTCGCCACCACCGTCACCCGGTGCTCGGACGCCTGCTCCCTGTCCAGCGCGCTCTCCGTCACCACCTTGTACGAGCCGCTCGACAACGCTACGAGCGACAGCGGCGCTTCGCCCGACAGCTCGCACCACACCTGACCGTTCTCCCCAGAGTCCGGGTCTTTCACGTTCAGCAGGGCCACCACTGTGCCCACCGGCGCGTCCTCAGGCACAGGGTTCGACACCGACAGCACTGTGATTTCGGGCGTGTTGTCGTTCACGTCCAGCACCTCCACCTCCACCTCGCAGTGAGCCAAGAGACCGGCCCCGTCCTTTGCTTCAACTGCCAGGCTGAACGAGCCCGTGTCCTCGAAGTCCAGCGCCTCCTGCAGCGTGATCCTCCCGCTCTTCGCATCCACCATGAACTTCTGAAGCACCTTAGGCGGCATTTTCCCAAAGCCGTACGTGATGCGGGCGTTGCTGCCGGCGTCGGCATCAGAGGCGGATACGTTCAGCACAGTCGAGCCCGGCAGTGCATCCTCCCGCAGGCTCACTCGATACCGCTCCTGAGCGAACATGGGGGCGTTGTCGTTTGCATCCGTGACGTTGATGCAGAGCTGGGCGGTGCCGCTCTGGGGCGGGTCCCCGCCGTCCACCGCCGTTAGCACCAGCCGCAAGCTCTGTTCTCTCTCCCGGTCAAGCGCCTGGCGCAGCACCAGCTCCGCGAACTTGCGTCTGTCCTTGCTCTCCTTCACCTCCACTGCGAAGTACTCGTTGTCCTCCAGCTCGTATCTCTGCAGCGAGTTACTGCCCACGTCGTCGTCCTCAGCAACTCCCAAGTAAAACCGAGCGCCGGGAGGTGCGGATTCAATTATTTCTAACTGAATGTTTTCCTTGAGAAACCGTGGAGCGTTATCGTTCACGTCCTGGATTGCCACTTCGACATGGAAAACATTAAGTGGGTTCTGCACCAGCGCCTCGAAGCTGACAGAGCAGGACGCCGACTTGCCGCACATCTTCTCCCGGTCCAGCCTCTCGCTCACGTACAGGTTCCCGTTCTCCCCACTCACGGTAAAGTATTGCTTTTCTGCGCTCAGCCGCAGCTTGCGTGCCGGCAACTCTTCCGGGCTCAGACCCAGGTCCCTCGCCAGCGGTCCCACCAGGGAGCCTCTGTTCAGCTCCTCGGGGATGGAGTAGTGGAGCCGGTCCGGCGCCGCCTGGCAGCACCAGCACAGCAGAAAAGACGGCAGCAGCATTCGACCGGCTGCTGGCTGCCGGCTCTGTCTCTGCCTGCTCGCCATACTCGGCAGCCCTAGGCGCGCTCCTCCCTCCTGCCGCTGCCTTCTTTCTCTTCCAGCCCCTCTGCGAAGTGAGCGCAGGGGCTGCCGGAGGGCACGGAGCTCGATGCCGGCTCGGACACCGCCTCTCGCCTCTCCTGCCCGTGCCGCTGCCTCTGTGGCCGGCGCTGAACGAGAGAGCAGCCTGCGGGTGCAGAACGTTGCGGCGGGTCCGGCTGCAGCTTTGGCTCCAGCGCCGCTTCGCGTTGGCCAACAGCGACACCCGGAGGCGCCTCCATGCCACCGAAGTCGAATCGGAGGCTGCGCCCCTGATAGCAGCAACGGCAGCCACCCACCTAAAGAATAATTTCTGTAGCTACGGAGACTTTAAGATTATATTACACTGCTTCAGGGTGAATTTAATTTTACTTTGAATTGCTCACTTTTGATTCTGATTTGAAATAACGGTTATTACTGATGGAGAAATATGAGTCTAAATGGTAGTGGACCTGAACTCAGGCCATCTAACAGTCCACTTGTCAAACGTCTCTCCAACAGAGAAGCCAACATGTTATGGAAGACCGTTTAGGGGACACCCTGCATGCCTCGTCCCTGTGGCTCTTACTTCTGGAACTGCACCTTTGCTCTGGCAATTAGAACAGATACTTGAGCAGAAATCATGAGGTCTAGATGCAGTGCATGATCATGCATGAACAGAACAGGACGTCTAGCATTTCTGAGGCCAAATTTTTTTTCACACACACTGTTCCACAGAGATTAAACTTCTGATTAGGTTATGTTTACATCGGGTACCATGACCATAACAGAACACGCTGAACAGCTGGCGCAGCATGAGCAAGAGGCACTAACCTACAACACATTGCTAAACAAAGCTATGCTGATAATTACAAGTAAACCTGTACAATGAGGAAATCAAGAAGAGGAAAACAAAACCATACCTCACACAAGCAGGCAAGGAAGCATTAGAAAAGAAAGCCACCAGTTCTTGGGAATTGCTTCTACTGTGTGGCAGCATTCTCAAAAAAAAAAAAAAAACAACAAAAAAACCCACACCAAACAAAAACAACAAAAAAAAACCCCAGCAACAACCAAACTGTATTTTAAACGGTTGCCTTATATCCCACACAGCTGTAGAAGATGAGAAATGGCAAGGAAGAGGGATCTGCCATCTGCCACCCAGCATGGAAGACAAACTGAGTAATAACTGCACAAAGAGAACAAGGAAATCAAGCCCAGAGAAAATGAACCCATACCACTACTCGCCATTTTTGTAGCCACCCTTCACCTAAAGGCACGACGGCATGAGGCTGAGGGGATTAACATTTATTAGGGCAGATAAATCTGCCACTTCACCGTTCATGGACCACATGAACGTTTTCTTATTGAGTCCAACACTAAAACAGCATTAACCAACCAATTCTTGTTCATCTGTCACCAAAGTGAATGTTCATTATTGAGCAAACAGTTTCATGACACCATCACATAACATTACAAACCCATAAATCACAGAAACAAGGCAAGGAAGTGTTAGAAAAGAATGTGCTGTCACTGAAACTTACCTGTAAGTCTTCTTGCTACTTACTGCAGGCACTGAAATTCATCCCTGGGAGCACCTGGAAGCTGTTCCTATCTCAAGCTGTAACTGTGGACCCACAGTCTTCCTCTGCACTACATAATATCGGGTTCAGTTTAATAGTCACCAGCTCTCAGCAACTCTTTTCTGTTCTGTGGCCTGCTCATCTCCCGGAAATATGAAGCAGTAAGAGTAAGCCCTTCTCATGGACCTCCTTTTCCACCTCAGTATTCAACAATACAACAAATTCTCTTCTACCTTCTGCTTCATTCTCCTCATGGTTACAATACTGTCTTAGATGGCTGTAGTAAATATGTGCTGCAAATCAACATTCACATTACCAAACGTAAAAGCACTGTCCAAAATGGTGAAAAAGAACCATGACCTCTGAGGAAAAATGTCCTGAAAGGAAGTGTAACTACAGTTGTGAACGAACTCTACACTGTAATGTTACAGGGAGATATAAGTTGGATAAAGAAGGTTTCTCACAAGATTTATGTCATTTTACCTTTGCTTCATCCTTCTATGTACTATGGTGCAAATGCTCTACTAGTATTGCATTTCAGAACAGGGAGACCAGGATCACCAAAATATGGCACAGGCCTTCACACCAGGCAGAAAAATCAAAGCACTGCCCAAGCAAAGCCATGCTAACCCACCTATTTTCCTGGTTCAAAGCCAGCCTTTCACCCTCCTTGCTTTGTATTCCAAGCCCTTAGTTGCACTACAACAGACCATGTCCAATATTCTACCCATATGTCAGCCATAGGTGGAGGAGCGTGTCATTCTGTGACATCTCAGGGAAACAGGTATATCAAAGTGTTCATCTTGGCAGCTGAACACCTTCAGGCTATGCATGGCAACTGTTCCTGCAGGCCAGCAAGTATAAAAGACCTTTTAACAGGGACAGTCAGGCTCAGCTTTAGACCTGGATAACAAAAACGCAGGAATGGGGAACCTGCAGAAGTGAAGGCATCATAGCCAACATTCCAGCTGCAGCAGGGACACTAAAGAAGGACCTAGTTGGCAAAAAAAAAGGAGCTCACGCCACAGAGAGTAGCCACATTCCCTCAAGGCAATTCTATGGACAATAAAAATACCTAAATACATGAACCACAACTGCGCGCCTCAAATAACAACCAGGACAAACTGACCTTTTACACCATCTTTACATGTTATACACATTTTAAATTATACCACAGCAAAACTTTGCACCTGATCAGGATTTCTCACCCTGCCCAAACTTACACAACAGAAAAGCTACATTTTCATTCAGACACCATTGAAAGAAAAGTTGCACATGCAGCTTCTCCTTCAAGAGGAGATTCTCAACATGCAGAGAGATTTTTTTCACCACGCTATTGTAAAGTGTATATCTATGCTCTGTCACTGATCATGGAACAGGAAAGCAAACTGATGAACCCACAGCTTGGACAGTTGGAGCCAAACCAAGGCAATATCCAAAACATATGAGATCTTCAGAATAATTTTCAATACACCGGCAATAAACCCTGGGAATCGACACAACACATAACATGTCTCCACCAATACCTTCACACAGACACCACCGAGATCTCAAACCCATCACAGCTTGCATTATTGTCATTGATATTAATCACCTGCAGACAAACTCGACCAAAACAGTTGCACAGAAATGCCGCTAAGGCATAAAATTCATACAAGTGCAAACGCACATGGAGAACCTATCAGGGCAACCCATACAGATGCAATGACACCTTCTAGGAAAATTCCTTTGGAAGGCAGAACTCACAGAGAAGGACATTACTCCTCGGCACAGGTCCTTCAAAATTTGAATGCATTGCTCGAACAACTTTAAATTTCTATAGTAAAATGGAGACACATTTCTACTCATGCCCCTACAGAGAAGAAAAGTCAAGGTGTAAAAGAAAATGATGCACAAGGCTACTGTAGAGACCGGGTCGCTGAACAGCATGGAACAAAGCGAAGATGTGGTAAAACATGACACCTTCCTCCAAGGAAAATCCATCTGGCCTCGCCACCTGCTCCTCCTGCCTAGCCATTCGCTGCAAACCTGAGCCTACACCCCACGATCCCCTCCTCGGCGCAAGAGGCACCAGAATTCAGAGTGGGGCTCAGATAATCTTTGCCTTCCTCGTCACCACAGTTGCCCCCGCTACAGAGGGAACACTGAAAAAGAATCCGCCGGCGAAAGAGCAGACAAGCAGCAGAGGGGAGGAAGCAGCGTGGAAAAAGACTCATGGAAAGAACTCACCGTGGGAGCAGAGGGGTCCACGCGGCTGGTGGTGGTAGGGTCCGCCCCGAGCAGCGGCGCGGGCTCGTCGGGAGGCGGACGGGCCGGGAGGGTGTCGCAGCAGCTGCCAGAGGACAAGCGGAGGTGGCTCTTGCGCGAGTCGGCGGTGAGAGACACCTCGTGCGAGTACGAGTGCAGAAAGGCTCGGACGCCGTCGATGCCCACAAACTGCGAGGCCGGGACACCGCGCAAGGCGGCACTGCCCGACGCCGCCAACAGCTGCGAATGGCGCCAGCGCCGCAGGCGCAGCGCCAACAGCAGCAGCAGGAAGGCGAGGAAGAGGCAGGACACGGCCGCCACGGCCAGCACCAGCCAGCGTGTGAGGCTGGTGGCCGGCTCACCCGGCGCCGCCGCCACGCTGCCCAGCTCCGAGAGCAGCTCGGCCACGCTCTCGGCCAGCACCACCGTCAGCGTGGCCGTGGCCGACAGTGCCGGCCGCCCGTGGTCCTTCACCACCACCACCAGGCTCTGGCGAGCCGCGTCGCGGGCCAGCGGGAAGCGCGCCGTGCGCACCTCGCCGCTGTGCAGCCCCACGCGGAACAGCCCCGGCTCCGTCGCCTTGGCCAGCTCGTACGACAGCCACGCGTTCTGCCCCGCGTCCGCGTCCACCGCCACCACCTTGGCCACCAGCGCTCCGGGCTCCGCCGACCGCGGTGCCAGCTCCACGCCCGACCAGCCCGACACCGCCGCAGAAGGCGCCGCTGCAGGCGGGTACAGCACCTGCGGCGCGTTGTCGTTCTCGTCCACGATCTCCAGCAGCACTGACACGTTGCTGCTCAGCGCCGGCGCGCCGCCGTCCTCCGCCCACACCCACAGCCGCACCTCGCGCACCTCCTCGTAGTCGAACGAGCGCAGCGCGTACAGCGCGCCCGTCTCTGCCTGCACCGACACGTACGATGAGAGCGGCGCGCCCTTCACCCACCCCTCCGACAGCCGGTACCGCACGCGCGCGTTCTGCCCCCAGTCCGCGTCCAACGCCCGCACCGTCAGCACCAGCGCGCCCGCCGCGTTGTTCTCTGCCAGTCGGGCGCTGTAGCCCGCCTCCGAGAACACGGGGGCGTTGTCATTCACGTCCAGCACCCGCAGCACTAGCACCGCGCTGCTCTGCATTGCCGGCGACCCACCGTCCATCGCCTGCACTGTCAGGCTGTACTCGGACACCTTCTCGCGGTCCAGCTCCCCCACCGTCACCACGCGGTAGTAATCCTCAAAGGTCTTCTCCAGCCGGAAAGGC